CTTTAATGCCCTATATTTCGAAAATGAAGCGTCTGGAAAAAAAATTTATACTTGATTTTTTTCTTATTTTTTTATGAGGAATATCTCCTTAAAGTTTGTCGACTTAATCCTGAAACACCCTGTATAAGGTAAAACATAAACATGTAGTTACATATACATATATGTATTATTTTACGCTTTTCACATTTTTTATTTTTATTTCCAAAAAAATTCCAAAATAATTACACAAAACACGACACGCAACAGGTTCTTCGCTATCGGCAAACAAACTGACATTGGGATTAACGTGTGTTCAGATTAAAGAGGTTGCACTGTAAATTCTAAAGAATTTGTGTCGGTCCTTATGTGAAACAGAAACTGTTAATGCAAGACATAAACTTCTGTTAATGAAAATTTCTGATATTTATCCTTAAAAATGTCGCTAACGCAATAGCTCAATTATTTCATTTCATTTGAAGTTTTGAAGTGAAAGTTTCTACGTCAGAGTTTGGATCATGTGATCCTAGAGAACTTCAAACAGTCATTTAAAAACAGAACGAATAATGTTGTTCATGATCCATGTGTATTTGAAAAAAGGAAAAGGCTACAAATCAGCTTCTTCACACAATATAGAAGAAATAATTCTCATTAGGAAGATTCACAAGTTATTAATGTAATTTTTATAAGTAAATACAGATTCTACGACACAACGATTAGCCAGGAAAATCAGACCCTTGTCTTTGTCATATAAAAAGAATGTGCAAAAAAGCAAATATTGTTACGACCTACCCTTGGTCTCACTGGTGGTATAACTCAATTACGGTATTCAACAACTAGCAATATACTGATTCTTGAAAAGTAAAATGTAAATAACAAAAATAGAACACAAGACACTGTTTTTGGATACGATTACTATCTGGATGGCAATTTAACCATTTACAAATAAGATCTTACGAAACTCCAACGAATACGAGGTAGGGCGAGACCTGAGGCACATTCACCGTTCACTCTCCGAAGACCAGAAGGGAACTCTCCGAGTTCTCCTCCTCTCTTGAGCATCCAACTAGCTACCCCGTTTTTGCTAAGCTTGCAATGTTCCCCGAGTGGTTGACTTCTATATATTATATTTATCAATCACTCCGTACAGTGCCGTGTGCAAAAAGATGTCACCGTTTCTTTGAACCTTACAATCATGCAACAATTTTGCCAATTAAGATTTTTATGTATTTTGTGTTCTAGAAAAAGTGTGCGTCTAGTCTAAATCATGAAATAGAAAATAATTTTGAATAAAAACAAGGTTGATGCTCTTTTCATATTTAACTTTAAAAATTCTTAATTAATAATAACTAAAATCCCCATATTTGACAATATTTCAAGATAAAGTTTATCCAGGCGAGTTTATATACATGGTGATCCAATTAAACCGGTGCACCTGAAATATTTTCAAAGAAACAGGTTTTTTCGGAAAATCCCGAAACAGGTCGATTTTGCTTTCAAGGGGGACATCTTTTGATCATAAATTCATGGATATAGGGTCATCCCCCTAAACGGGGTGGGAACCCCTTCAAGAATCTTAAATGGCATGTAGTCCAGGCGGCATCTGTTTCGGCTTGGGTAAAACGCATTTGATCGGAGATTTTTGCTTTAACGGCTTCTAAATAACATCAGAAATAATAATATTTCTATGCAAATAAAAAAAACGTGGGCTTAATTGTTATTGCAAAAAAGTATAAAAAAATAGCAAAAAAATTCATTTTTTCTCTGGATTTCTCGTCGACAACTTGGCAACTATTCATTTTAGACAAAAATGGAAGGGGAAAAAAGGTTTTGTAATTAAATTTTGATCAAGATGGAGTTAGTTGCAATTCGAAAAAATAATTTTTGTTATTGCAAAAATCGGAACAACCATTTAAAAAATTGCAAAAAATGCTAGTTTATTTGTCAATTTTTTTTTAGACACTTGAATCATATGCATACTTTTCCCAATTAAACTTCGTAGTGCATAGAATCATCACACCAAATTTTATCCAATTCGGTTTGATAGTTTTTACATAATATGTAGTAATTGTTTATATATTTTTTTTAATTAAAAAATTTTCAAAATCAAATTTCTAAAAATCTAAAGCCTTTGAATACTTGAAAATTTTACCAAAAAAGCGGAGCTCTCAAGCTTTAAAATGATTTTTGAATAATTCAAATCTGACGATTAGGTGAGCCGTGGTGATTGTTTAAACATTTTCGCAATTTTCACGTTTATAAACAAATCATATTTTTTTATTTTAAAATATGGTTTGAAAGTACTCGAAAAGACGAGTATTTCAAAAAAGAACTTGATGATCCGCACATTATTTTCGGAGTTATAGCCTGTTAATGTTAACCCTTATTTACAGCAAAACTATAAGGGTATAAGGGCTGTCTTTTTAACTAATAGGTTTGTCAATCCGAGTACTTTCCAGATATAAATTTTCAAAATTTGCAATCACGGGCATCCCATTTAAAATGTCACTCAAAGATATTCAAAACCGCATTAAATCAATGAAATATCAGTGGTGGGGGGAGCAACACAGCTACTCCGATATGAATTCTCGAGTTCAAAAATGCTCTGAGTATTGCACCCATTGCCAAGGGCAAATGTGTAAAAATGCTTACAAAACAGTGGAAGTAGACGAGTTCGAAATCGATTTTGAAGAAGACATGTCAGAAGAAAGGCAAGTGAACTCGACAATCAGATTTCAGAGTCGTTAGAAAATGATATTTTGCAGTTGCAGGATGAGGAAAACGACGACGAAATAGATTGTGATAATACTGATGAGGCATGTGAAAAATCACCAACTAGTAAAAGAATTAGATTAGATTAAATGTAAATAAAAATTGAAATAAATAGTTTACAATTTGAAAAATCATGAAAAGAGTGTACTGTTTATTGAAGTATCCAAAAGATTCTTATACTTTTTTATATAAATAAAAAATAATTTTTAGATAAATATTTTAAGAATAAACGAAAAAATTAAAATTTATTTTTTTTGAAAGATTTTTAGAAATTTATTGTACAACTAAAAATTAATACTAATTTTCAGTTGTTTATTTAAATAATTATTGATTAAACAATTTTATAATATTTAAACAAACTTACTAGTATTACCTGGTGCAACATGCAAAAATTTTGGTCGTGAATATTAACATAGTAAATAAATAAACATAATAAATTAATCATTTTTTAAAGTAACTGTTTATCTGCATGTCAAAAGTCCCATATGATAAATGAATTTTTTAAGTAGAGAGACATCAATTTAAAAAAAAATCATCGAAATTGGTCCATTAGAAGCTGAGATAAGTGAAATTTTTCCGAGCGTCGCAGTTTTAAACTCGAAAATTCAGATCGGAGTAGATGTGTGTTTGCTCCCCCTACCACTGATTTCACGCGGTCTTGAATATCTTTGAGTGACATTTTAAATGGGACGCCCGTGATTGCAAATTTTGAAAATTTATATCTGGAAAGTACTCGGAATGACAAACCTATTAGTTCAAAAAACAGCCCTTATACCCTTATAGTTTTGCTGTAAATAAGGGTTAACTTTAACGGGCTATAACTCCGAAAATAATAGGCGGATCATCAGGTTTTTTTTAAAATACCCGTCTTTCTGAGTACTTTCAAACCATATTTTAAAATTAAAAAAAATTTGAAAAAAACATTAAATTATTGCAATTGTTTATAAGCGTGAAAATTGCGAAAATGTTTAAACAATCACCACGACTCACCTAATCGTCCGATTTGAATTTTTCAAAAACCATTTTAAAGCTTGAGAGCTCTTCTTTTTGTGGTGAAATTTTCAAGTATTCAAAGGCTTTAAATTTTTAGAAATTTGATTTTGAAAATTTTTTTAATTTATAAAATAAAAAAATTTAAACATGTAAAAACTATCGAACAAAATTAGATGAAATTTGGTGTGATTCTATGCACTAAGAAGTTTAATTGGGAAAAGTATAAAGATAATAGGTATTATTCAAGTGTCTAAAAAAAAATTGACAAATAAACTAGCATTTTTTGCAATTTTTTAAATGATTTGTTCCGATTTTTGCAATAACAATAATAATATTTTCGAATTGCATCTAACTATATCTTGATCAAAATTTAATTACGAAACTTTTTTCCTCTTATATTTTTGTCTAAAATGAATAGTTGCTAAGTTGTCGACGAGAAATCCAAGAAAAAAATGAATTTTTTTGGTATTTTTTAAACTTTTTTTGTAATAACAATTAAGCCCACGTTTTTTTATTTGCATAGAAAAATTATCATTTCTGATGTTATTTAGAAGCCGTTAAAGCAAAAATCTCCGATCATATGCATTTTACCCAAGTATACCCTTTTTAAAACAGATACCGCCTGGACTAACAGGGGATGATCCTACATCCATGAATTTATTATCAAAAGAAGTCCCCCTTGAAAGCAAAATTGCCCTGTTGTGAGGTTTTCCGGAAAAACCTGGTGCATTGAAAATATTTCAGGTGGACTGTTTTAATTGGGCTACCCCATATGTAACAAGACTCATAAATAAAAATAGAATTTTTATTTAAATTTTGATAAATGGGCATTTTCTACTGATGAGCTTACCTACCGTTTATTTCTATATTTAAAAATTAACAAAAAAAACAGACATTTTTTTTTATTTTTAGATCTTAATGAGTTCTTTAGTGAAATCTAGTGTAGAGTCTTTTGTACCTACATCCGATCTAAAGCCATAGTGGCTGCTGTGTCAAGATCTCGTACTTTTTCCAAGTAATTTGTTAACCACACTTTTCATGATTGTTGAAAAATCTTTGCAGCATTGTCTATAACTAAGCCTATAATTTGTTACAATTTATTTATCACCTGCCTTATAAAATGGCACAGTAATTGACTAGGTACTTGCATTGGAATGATAAAATTCCTTTTTGGTAATATGCTGAAGGATTAAAAATTTTACGATATATTTATGCACCTACTTGTATAAATTGTGACAGTACCATAATCAGGCTCTTACCTTCTTTCCTCATCTTCAGATTTTATGTCGACACATTCAGTTTTGATTGACAAATCCGTCCTGTTAATATCAAATTCTTTGTACAGATTTTCAGTCTTAACGAATAAATCACATGGTAATGTATCTATTTGTCTTTCTGTGGCTTGACTATCAAAACTACCTTTAATTTTCTCCTCTACTTCTAAGCATTCTCTTAGGAAACTGTTGTGGATGCACAGGGAATCAAAACATTCCTTACATACAATGGGATGATCTTTAATATCTATATTCTGCAAAGTAATATTTTTAAATTGTGATAAATGCGAGAATAAAAAATGTAATATTGTTTATGTTGTGTGTTATACCATTTCAGGGGCAAATTTCTGAATAGTTTCGAGTTCCTCTTCATGTATGAACGTAAACTCACTTCTTACTGGCTGCATACACAACCGACATATTTTCTGACTGTCTGAAATATCCATTGACTTACTGCTCTCTTCCTTCATGTAAACTTGTTTTAAATCAACTTGTGGAACAATTGTATTATTGGTATTCAGACATGTTGACTTGAATTCGAATGCTGCATATAATTTTTTTCTGCAAGTATTGCATATAACTTCCTTGCTCTCACTATCGAATTTCTGAAATATATGCAGAAAATAATAACTAGTAGTAACAACACACATGTTGGAATTATTGAAAGGTGTACGAACTGGGATAGTAGAAACTGATACATTTCACTAACTTACCAATTTCAGCAAAAGAGCATCAAGAACATTTCTAATAACGTTGTCTATTACTGAAAAATTTGTTATGGTTACAGTTGTATGGCAAAGCCTACACGAAGTTTCTTGCACACCAGTCATTACTACAATTTTCTTTTAAATGTAACATAGAAAGAACTACTAGAACCGTTTATGTTGGACGTTTAACCTCAATCGGATGGAGATTGTAGAGTTATTATTCTTCTTCGTCTTCCAATTTCGGAAGAACAAGAATGATAATATCTAGTTTTTGATTACTGTACTCATAAAAAAATATACAGGATGTTAATTAAGTATGTACAATACAGTACAATTCAACACAGGATTATTTGAGTGATTTTAAGTTTTAAGACAAAAAATTCATATAAACATTGGTCCATAAATGCTTCACTTTCAAAATACAGGGTCAAAATTGCTATTTCTAAATATCTTATACAGGGTGTCCGGTAAGTACCTCCTAATCTCTCGGGAGTATATAAGGGAGGTCAAAATAAAACTAGTGCTTCCTATAATTTTTTTTCCTAATGTGCCCCCTAACGGAGTTATGGGGGGTCAAAGGGGTACCTAGAAATTAACGTTTAGGGTTATAACTTTGAAACCACCCTGTATATTTTAATAAAATTTTCGTACGTTGTATTACACATGGAGCTCTACGATTTGATGCTAAAATCAACTTTTTGCTATTATCAGGTGTCCAGAAACGGACTGGCCCTATCACAATTTTTCTCAAAATTTTGACAGAAGTAATTTTATCAAACTGAAAATATTATTATTAGATACTCTGAAGGTTTTTCTTTAAAAATGGTACTCTTTATTTATTTCGAAAAAATGAACGGTTTGCGAGATAAATCGGTTTTGAAAAAAATTGGTAACAAATACAACAAC